AGGCGAGCCAGAAGGGGACGGAGGGCCCTCGCCTCCGACATCTGTGCCTTTCTGCCCCCTCGTCCCGCTCCCGAGCCTAGGCGCGGGTCCCGGCCTTCCGGCCCCCTCCTGACACCTGGCGGATGGCCCCTCCCCAGCTCCGCGCCGTGGAGCCCCAGGACACCTGTTGTCGCGCTTTGGCGAAACTGGGTCCGCAGCTGCTTTGCCTGGCTTTGCTCCACCCTCCAGGCCGTGAGCGATCTGGGTGAATGCGGTGGCCCGGTGGCCCAGTGACGGGTCCGGGCTAGAGCGAAACTCCAAGGTGACTCAGCCCCAGGGCGTGCGGTCTCGCGCCTGCTGTTGTGGAGAGAGACGTGGTTGGTACCCGGGGCCAGAGGAGCCCCTGGGGAAGCCAGAAGAGGAAGTGCGACAAAGCCTCGGGGAACGCCGGCGCCAAGGGCTGACCCCGGATCCCCGGCGTCTCTAGCCCCGCGGCCCACCGTTCATTCCTGTCTCTGCTGCCCTTCCTACAGATCTGCTCCTTCCGCAAGGAACTCAACCGCGGGCGCCATGACCAGCCTTCTGATCACGCCTTCTCCAAAAGGTAGGCGAAGGCCTTTCTAATCCCTGTGGAAGAGAGTTGTTCAGCATCTTCCTCTCCCCCAGACTCGTCCTGGAATTCCTGGAAGCCCCGGCCCAGATGGGAAGTCATTCCCACCTCTCTCTTGCTCCCTTACACTGGAAAAGCTTCTCTGAGCAGCCATGGAGTGTGCACTTTAGGAAGGCTCGTGGGCCTGGGTCAGTTCCCCGTACTACATTTAAAGCTTAAAAATATTTTATAAGCCTAAAGAAAGGGCATTACATTCCTCTTTCTGATATTTTTTTTTATTTGAGTTGGAGTCTCACTCTTATCCCACACTCACGGCCACCGCAGCCTTGACCTGCTGGGCTCAGGCGATCCTTCCAACTCAGCCTTACAAGTAACTGGAGCTATAGGTGTGCACCACCACACTTGGCTAATTTTTTTAGCTTGTTGTAGAGATGTGGTTTTGCCAAGTTACCCAGGCTGGTCTTGAACCCCTGGGCTCAGGTGTTCCTCTCACCTTTGCTTCCCAAAGTGCCGGGATTACAGGCGTAAGCCACAGCACCCAGCACCCTCTGATAATTTGTAACTGTGGCACAGAGTGTAGCAGCAACCCTCATAATTAAATTTGGAAAAAGAATCTTCCGAAGAGAATAGAGAAATAAAAAGTTTTTTGTTTTTTTTTTTGAGTTGGAGTCTCACTCTGTCGCCCAGATTGGAGTGCAGTGGCCGCTTCTGGCCACCGCAGCCCCGACCTGCTGGGCTCCGGCGATCCTTCCGCCTCAGCCTTCCAAGTAGCCGGAATTACAGGCATGCACTACATAAAAAGTTTTTTTTAAAAACGTGCTAAAGATAGTATTTTTAACCTGTGAGCTCCAGTTTCTTCGCTGATAAAATAGGGAAACTAGTACGTATCTTATGAGGCTATTCGTGAGAATTAAATGAGATAACCCATTTAAAAACACCTAGAACAGGCTAGGCACAGTAGCTCACACCTATAATCCTAGCTTTGGGAGGCTGAGGTGGGAGGATTGCCTGAGGTCAGGGGTTGCCTGGGTAATGTAGTGAGAACCCATCTTTACTTTTTAAACATATACATATGTATAAAGAAGAAATAAATTAAGTAAAACAATTAGAATAGTATCTAGTAACTCCATAACATTGGTTATGATTACTATAGAGTCCTTCCTAAAAACCCAACTTTCCCTGGAAAAGAATTCTGCTGTTTTTTGTTTGTTTTTGTAGAGATGAGGTCTCACTATGTTGCCCAAGCTGATCTCGAACCCCTGGGCTCAAGCAATCTTCCTGCCTCAACCTCCCAAAGTGCTGGGATTGCAGGCATGAGCCACCAGTGCCCGGCCTCTGCGGGCTTTCTAATTCCACTCCTCTGATGATCCAGACCCAGCATCAGAACCCTATAGTCGCTGGAGGTCAGCTCAGGCAGGGCTCTACTGTGCATCACGCTCAGAACTGGTTCCCACCTTTCAGTCATAACCAGGAAGGGCCGGACAAGCCATCAGATATGTGGTGATGGTTTTCAGCATGTGCTGGTTAGGGTGAGGGAGGAACACGCCCTCAGTTTGTCTGTGCACCTTTGTTTTCATCTCCACTCATATTCCTGTGCACGCCCTGCTTGGACTTCTATGGAAACAGGTGAGTCACAACTCCAGCCGAAGTCTTAGCCAATGTCCTCTGGGACTGGAGATGCACACAAGAGATAAAGAGAAACGGGGGCTGGGCTGGGTGGCTCAGCCTGTAATTCTGCGCTTTGGGAGGCCGAGGTGAGTGGATTCCCTGAGCCTGCGGGTTCGAGACCCGCCTGGCCAACTTGGTGAGACCTCATCTCTACAATAAATCAAAAAAATTAGCCGGGCATGGCAGCGCACATCTGTAGTTCCGGCTACTTGGAAGACTGAGGCGGAAGGATCGCCGGAGCCCAGCAGGTCGAGGGTGCGGTGGCCGGGAGCGGCCACTGCACTCCAGTCTGGGCGACAAAGTGAGACTCCAACTCAAAAAAAAAGAAAAGAGAAATGGGTGCAAGTCTAGACTGATGGGCAAAGGCTTCATGCGTGGGGATGGGATCCAAGCCTTGCCCTCAGAGGATGGATGAGGTTTTTACACGCACAGAGGGGAGCAACAGGTAATTCTAGAGAAAGGTAGGACACCTCTACCTTGTGTGTCTATTTCAGATAAAGGTAGCCTACTTTACTCCGTGCGTGAAGCCACAGAAACTGGACTCACCCTAGGGATGTTTGTGAGGAGAGGGCAGGAACCTCCAGGATACATCTGTCCACAGGGAATAAAAGGTGATACTTAGGCAGCTCACTGAGGGATTAGGACCCGGGCTATGGGGAACTATTTATATTCTGGTCTTTTTAAAATTTGTGGACCGGGCGCGGTGGCTCAGCCTGATCCCAGCACTTTGGGGGCTGAGGTGAGAGGATTGCCTGAGTCCGTGGGTTCGAGACCATTCTGGGCAACTTGGTGAGACCTTGTCTCTACCATAAATCACAAAAACTAGCTGGGCGTGCTTCTGTGGTTCCAGCTACTTAGAAGGCTGAGACAGAAGGATTGCCTAAGCCCAGCAGGTTGAGACTTCAGTGGCCGTGCACTGCACACCAGGCTGGGTGACAAGAGTGATACTCCCAACTCAAAAAATAAAAAAGTTAAAATAAAATAAAATTTGTGGTAAAATGTATATCATGCAAGTATTCTGATTTTAACCATTTTGGGGTACATGCAGTTAAGTGGTACAATGGTCACCCTCTTATCCACGGGGGATACCTTCCAAGACCCCTCCCCCCATGCCTGAAACCTTGAACAGTCCTGACCCCCCTCTACACTATGAATTTTCATATATATATATGAATATGATAAAGCTTAACTTATAAATTAGGCAAGTAAGAGATTAACAACTAACTAGTAATAAAGTAGAATGATTATAACAATACACTGTAATAAGAGGTATTTGGAGGATGTGGTCTCTATCTCTCTCAAGATATCTTATTTATTGTTGTTTTTAGGAAGCTCACCATACAATTTTTTTTTTTTTTTTTTGAGTTGGAGTCTCACTCTGTCGCCCAGACTGGAGTGCAGTGGCCGCTCCCGGCCACCGCAGCCTCTACCTGCTGGGCTCCGGCAGTCCTTCCACCTTAGCCTTACAAGCAGCTGGAACTACAGGTGCGCGCTACCATGCCCGGCTAATTTTTGATTTATTGTATAGATGAGGTCTTGCCAAGTTGCCCAGGCGTGTGTCAAGCCCGTGGGCTCAGGCAATCCACTTACCTCAGCCTCCCAAAGGCGCGGGATTACAGGATGAGCCACCGAGTCTGGCTACAATTTTTTTTTCTAAGTCGAGAATTGTACCCTTTTTTCACTTAAGGTTTTCATTTTTGGCAGCATCGCTACTCTTGCTCTTTAGGGGGGCCATTATTAAATATAATAAGGGTTACCTGAACACAAGCTCTGTGACAAGCAGCTGCTGAGTAATGAACAGACAGATAGCTCTACAGCATGGGGACGCTGGACAAAGGGAGGACTCACTTCCTGAGCAGGACACAGCGGGAAGGCAAGAGATTTCATCACACTACTCAGAATAGCGTGCAACTTAAAACTTGTGAATTGTTTGTTTCTGGAATTTTCTGTTTCATATTTTCACGCTGAGGTTGACCGCACCTAACTGAAACCTCAGAAAGCAAAATTGCAGATAAGAGGAGACTGCTATATTTGGGTACATTCACATTGTTGAGCTACCATCACCAGCATTCATCTCCAGAACTATTTCTGTCTTCCCGAAAAGGAAGCTTCACACCCATGAAACACTAACTCCCAATTCCGTCCTCCCTCCAGCCTCTGACTGCCACTCTCCTGCTTTGTGCCTATGGATCTGACTGCTCTGGATATCTCAGTGCGTGAAATCATACAGTATTTGTCCTTCTGTGTCTGACTCACTTAGCATAGTGTCTTCAAAGTTCATCCATATTGTAGCGTATGTCAGAATTTCCTTCCTTTTCAAGACTGAATAATATTCCACTGAATGTATATACCACATTTGGTTTATCCATTTGTTCGTGATAGACACGTGTCTGCTTCCACCTTTTGGCTACTCCATAATGCTATGAACATGGGTGTGTACAGATATCTGCTCGAGTCTCTGCTTTCAATTCTTTTGGATATATACTCAGTAGTGGAATTGCTGTATCATGTGGTAATTCTATGTTTAATTTTTTTGAGGGCCCACCATACCATTTTCCACAGAAGCTGCACCATTTTACATTCCTACCAGCAACGCAGAAAGGTTCCAGTTCCTCCATATTATTGCCAACACTTGTTACTTTCCGTTCTTTTTTTTTTGTGTTGGAGTCTCACTCTGTTACCCAGACTGGAGTGCAGTGGCCGCTCCTGGCCACTGCAGCCTCGACCTGCTGGGCTCCGGCATTCCTTCCACCTCAGCCTCTTCTGAGTAGCCAGGATTACAGGCACGCACTACCACGCCCGTCTGATATTTGATTTATTGTAGAGATGAGGTCTCGCCAAGTTGCCCAGGCAGGTCTCGAAGGTGCCGCGGGCTCAGGCAGTCCACTCACCTCAGCCTCCCAAAGCGCGGGATTACAGGCTGAGCCACCGAGCCTGGCTTACTTTCTGTTCTTTTAGTGGTAGACATCTCAATGGGAGTGAGGTGGTATCTCATTGTGGTTTTGATTTGCATTTCCCTAGTGATTAGTGATGTTGAACATCTTTTTATGTGGTTATTGACCATCTGTATGTCTTTGGAGAAATGTCGATTCAAGTCTTGGCCCATGTTTTAGTTTGGTTGTTTTGTTGTTGCTGTTGTTGGTGTCGGTGTTGAGTTGTATATTACATTCTTGACCCAACAAGTGACATGAATGAAGTGACATGAATCCAGTGCACTACCCACTGGATCCAAAGAAAGGTTCAGAGACGAATGGAGCAGAGAATAGAAACCACAGACAGGACAGAAAGCTGTCTTCAAAGGATGGGTCACTGAGGGTCGGCTGGTC